AAGCGAAGAGAAGTCAAGCCAAACAGGAAGATACCCCAAAGAGTGGTCAACCGAGAAGCGAAGAAGGGCACACATGTGAAAAGGGATGAAGAAGAGAAGGGGCCAAGCGAGAAAGGCCGCAGAAGAGAAGATGCAGCGAACCGAGGAAGTCCTGAAGAGAAGTCTGGGCAAGGGAAGTTCTTGAATTCAGATACTCAGGAACAAAAGGTCCTCGGAGTAAGATGGGACAAGGGACAAGACTGCTTCTGGTTCAAGGTTGGGCTGAACTTCTCGCCTAAGAGCAGAGGTGTTAAGATAGGTCCTCCCTTAACTCTGTTTCAGCTGCCTCAAGGTGTACCTAGCGTGCTGACGAAGAGGATGGTGCTCGGGCAGGTGAACAGCGTCTATGATCCGCTAGGACTGGCTTCACCGTTCCTGATCAAGATGAAGGTTCAGTTGAGAAACCTGTGGAGCGAAGCGAAGCATCTGGACTGGGACGACCCTCTCAGCGACAGCATGCGAGACGAATGGGTGAGCCTGTTCCGCGAGCTGTATGAGATGGAGAAGATCACCTTCCCAAGATCAGTGAAACCTGAAGGTGCTGTCGGAAACCCGTCTCTGATCATGTTCAGTGACGGATCCAACGATGCCTACGGTACCTGTGCCTACGCGCGTTGGGCACTCACGGACGACACCTTTGCCTGCAGGCTGATCTGTGCCAAGAGTAGAGTGGCACCCTTGAAGCGTCAGACAATCGTTCGGATCGAGCTGTGTGGAGCTGTGCTAGCTTCCAGGCTCGCCAAGTTCCTGCAGCAAGAGATGGAAGTCACATTTGAAACTGTGATGTTCCTGGTGGACTCAGAAATAGTGAGATCAATGATCCAAAAGGAATCGTATGGCTTCAACACCTTCACAGCGGTCAGGGTCGGAGAGATCCAAGAAAACACCGACCCCTCTAAATGGTTCTGGGTTGAAGGAAAGCAAAATGCTGCAGACTGCATCACGAGGGGAAGCAAGCCGAGTCAGCTCGACCAACACAGCGTCTGGCAAGAAGGGCCGAAGTTTCTCCAGGCACCGATACCGGAGTGGCCGGTGAAGCAGACGTCAGTCCAAGATCTGCCTGAGAGGAACGAAGTGATTCTGACCCTCGCATGTGAGCGCCGAGACACCCTTGCACAGCGAATCGACATCACTCGACATTCGAAGTACTCGAAACTCCTCAGAGTAACAGCAAGAGTGTTGAGCATGTATAGCAAGGAACCAGCTATCACGTTCAGAAACGCTGCACGAGTGCCAGACTGTACTGCGCTGGAAGCCGCCGAAGTCTTCTGGGTCAAAGAAGCGCAGACGACCATCATGGACGGCTTCAAGAACGGCAAGTTCAGACGCCTCCGCCCCCGGATGCGTGAAGACGGGATCGTGACAGTAGGCGGTCGCATGCATCAGGAGGAAGCCACCTACAATCAACAGGAGCTGCCTCTTCTTCCTGCCAGCCACCGTCTGTCCCTGCTGTATGTACAGCATGTCCATAACCAGGGCCACCTGGGAGTCTCAGCAACGGCAAGTAAAGTACGAGAACGATTCTGGATCGTGAGCTTGACGCGGCTCACAAAGTCTGTGCGCTACAAGTGCGTCACATGCAAGAAACTCGACAAGCGAACGGAAGAGCAGATGATGGGATCGTTACCAGCTGAGAGACTGAAACCGGCGCCTGCTTGGACCTATACATCGCTCGACTACTTCGGTCCATTCTGGATCCGCGGTGAAGTAAACAAGCGCTCACGCGGAAAAGGCTACGGAGTCATCTTCAACTGCCTGCTGACAAGGGCGGTACATCTTGATTTGGCAGCAGACTACTCGACGGCAGGATTCATGCAAGTGTTCAGTCGTTTCACATCGCTGCGTGGATACCCTTCCGTCATGTACTCGGATCCCGGGTCGCAGCTGACAGCATCCAGCAAGGAACTTCGCGCTGTCACACAAGGGATCGACCGAGAAACGCTTCAGGCTCAGGGATCGAGTCACGGTCTGACATGGAAGTTCAGCGCTCCGGATGCCCCATGGCAAAACGGCTGCTCAGAGGCTCTGATCAAATCGGTGAAGCGAGCACTTCAGAGTGTCATCGGAGAGCAGGTGCTAACGTTCCCGGAGCTCCAGACCGTGCTCTGCGAGGTAGCGAACCTCCTGAACGAGCGGCCAGTAGGACGACATCCAAAAGACATCGAGGACGGTACTTACCTCTGTCCGAACGATCTCCTGCTCGGGCGAGCCAGCGGCAGAGCGCCCTCCGGGCCCTGGTGTACTTCAGCTACATCGGCTCAGCGACTGGTCTTCGTCTGGAGACTGGTGGACGACTTCTGGAGAAAGTGGACGAGGGACTACTTTCCGTCCCTGCTGGTGTGTCCTAAGTGGCACATTGAGCGTCGTAATGTGTGTATAGGTGACATTGTTATGTTACAGAGTTCGAACGTACTGCGCGGCACCTGGCGTCTGGGTCGTGTGACTGCGGTGTTCCCCGGCCGAGACGGCCGGATAAGGACGGTGAACGTGCGGTGCGGCTCCAGTGATGGGAGCGGAGCGTCGCGCTCTGCCGGATGTGTGGAGCTGACTCGTCCAGTCCGAAAGCTCGTCGTACTGCTTCCGGTGGAAGAGAGCTGTGCCGCTAACTGAGTGTATCAGCGAACTGGTATGTAGAGAACCAGCGGGCGGCGGAGTGTTTCGCTCGCGAAAGTTACGTTTGATTAGTTGAGCGTCAAACACTGTGTGCGATTTAGATATTCGTTTTGGGCAGCGTTTTAGAGGCGCGATTGCGTCAGCTGGCCGACGCGTGGCAGGTATACTAAAACCTTGGTTGTTTTGTTTTTAGAAAAGGTGAGCCACGCCCCGCGCTGAATGTGTGAAGATATAGAGGGTACGGCTGCTATAGTAATTTAAACCCACGGTCAGATGTGGTAATTTCATTTTTGTTGTGTTGGTTGAAAACTGTAGGAGCCGTCAGTCATGATTGCAAGCTGAATACATGGCCAGCGATACAGTACGATCCATCGTGGAATGCCCTACCTTCACACCAAATTTCAAGTCTTAGGTCACCTTAGTCAGGAGTTATTGAGGTCAAACTGAGGTCATGTTCGAGCAAAAATGAGCAAAAAACATACAATCTTGAAACGCTCACCAAATCTACAGTTACCAAGCAATTTCAAAGTTCTGTATATGGTCTAGTAGCTAACAAGTGGCGCTACAAAACTGCCATCTCGGATTTTCAAAATATTGGGTTTTTGACCCCTAAAAATTCAAAAAATGGATTTTTTTTTAGAAAACTCAAAACAATCCAAAAAGTTTTCCGAATGTCGAAAAAAACGGAATATATGTGATAGTCCCTGCGCTCTTCTATATACATACCAAATTTCAGATCAATATCTTGTTTTTTGACCAAGTAAGAGCGGAAAAAAAACTTCAAAAATGATGACATCAAATTTTTGAACTCAATTTTTAGCGATTCTAGACCACGTAGGGCAAAACAAAGACCACCATTGAACTCCCCGTGACGAGCTGCATCGAATCGATACCCATTAAGCAAAAATATCAACTTTGAAATTTGACCTAATTTGATCTGACCTTGACCTGACCTTTACCAGAACATAATCTAAACTGACCCCAAAGGCTGCCTGACCCACATAATCGTATTTGACATATAAAATGGACCATAATACATGCATCACATGATATTTTCATATTGTGACCCTCAGTGACCTGACCTCTGTGACCTGACCTGGTATCAGTGACCTCAAATAGCAAAATATATGTTTGAAGAACATTTCCCCATCGATGATTTTCAATAAAATGCATTTTACTCGATTTTACAACGCATTTCTTAAAATGCCTGTAAACGGTGAAAATTTAACCTTTGACCTGACCTGTGACGTCATCGGTTTGACCTAGGCAATAAAATTGGGTCACAAGGTAGTTCCTTGATAGGGCTATCCAACACCGTTTGCCGCTTGTCGCTAGGTTGCGTGGTTCTCGAGATCTTGGGGGGGGGGGGCAAATTGCCCCCCCCCCAACAGGGCGCGTCGCTGGCAAGAGCCCAACGGGGCGCGGGTTAACACGCGCAGTGGAAGGGTTGCGAGTACAACGCCTTGTGGAAGGGGGGGGGGGCGGATGGCGCCCCCCCTAAGATCTCAGCTCCCACTGGAGCTAGGAAGACAAAATTTGGAGGGTAGGTGAGGGCTCTGGGGAACTCTGTTGTGTATGAATTTCATGACCCTAGGTCAATATCTTTACGGTCAAATGAGGTCAAATGTGGTCAATTCTGCCATATAAGCGACTTTTTTGCGTTTACACGCCGATAACTCAAAAAGTTACCGGCCGATTTTCTTTTTCTTTCACTATACGAAACCCCATACATGTGTGAGTATGTATGGTGAATTTCTAGTTAATCCACCTATAAATATGGCAGTTAGAACTTAAAAGCCTGCTAAGGGTAAGATGTCGCCGGCTGAAGCGGGATCGGCCGACGCGAGAAACGCGGCAGTCACAATTTTGTGTTTACACACTCATAACTCAAGTTGTTACCGGCTGATTTTCAAAATTATTTGACGATAAGATTGCCTGTACATTTCTTAGTCTTCCAACAAAAGTTGACGCGAATCGAATATCATCAGCGGTAAGGAGCGCGATGTAAAGACGGAACCGTCCCGCCCCGGCACAGTCTACAATTCAGGCGGCGCGTAACGGCTAGCGCCGGCCGGCCTGCGGCGGCAGGATGTTTGACTTTACACCGCTATTACTAGAAAAGTTGCGAACTGATTTTCTTATTTCTTGCACGAGAAGATCCGCAATTCAATTCTAGACAGGTAGCCAAACTTTCACATTAATATTATGTTTGCAGCGCGAGTTATTGGCGAAAAACAGGAGGGGTGCACGAAATCCGCCCACCCCTTCCACTGCGCGTTAAAGCACTAAGCAGGTGATCTGCCTGCCTGTTGTCTTTCTTTATGAGCGTGCGTGTGGTGTGTGCGCACTTGGAGCGGCCGTGCCGTTTGGCCCAGCTGGTGTGGTAGAAGCTGAGCAGGTGGCCGGCCAACAGGTCCGAGAGGCCGGCCAGCAGCAGGCCGCTGATCGGGATGCCCACCAGCGCGTACAGCAGGCAGAACAGCTGGCCGCCGGCCGTGCGCGGGCTCAGCTGCCCGTAACCTGCCGGCGCGCCACCAGCGGGCTGTGAGCCTCCGCGCGACCGTACACAATCGTCACACCAACCACCAGCAGCAGCCAGCAGTGCAGAGCCGTAGGCCTGACAGACCACCAGAGACTCGAACATGTGACCTGAACCCATTAGACCAGATCCTTCCTTGAAACACTCAGTGAATATACTTACGTTGTCCCTAAGCGTGAGAGGGTTACCTCCGCACAATCATACAGTATACACTAGCGCCCCTGTGGCGCAGCCGAATGCCCCCTGCCGGTTAGTACGGGTCATCGGTCGCGCTTCCGTACATACAGGCACGTTCATACATCTTGTGCGCTAGCGGGAAATCAACATACCTAAAGCTTCTTATATTTAGTGGTCGCAAGTTAACTAGGATTCTGGCATCCACATTACAGGCCGCATATCACTGCAAATGCCGGGTGCAGTTTGGATTTGGAGAACTGTCTGTCGTTTAGCGTCCCCCTCGGGATTGGCCTCTGGATAGTCGGCGGAGAATGACCGTACCTTCTTTAGATGGCCTTGGATCGAGAGCACGCTTACCAATGGTGGTGACGACCGTCAGGCAGAAGAACAGGGCGTCTATGAAGCTCCAGGCCGGCTCGGGCTGCTGGGACTGCAGCCGGTCGGAGCCGCTGCCGCAGAGCAGCTGTCGCAGCTGCCAGCCGGTGCCGCTGTGCTCAGCCGGCAGCAGCCGTCCGGCCTGACCAGCAGCACTGCGGCGGCAAAGCCATTCCAGCGTGTCCTCTGTCAAAACGAAAGGCGACTCATTTGTTCCACTGCTAAATTTTTGGGTATTTATTCATAAATAATACTTTTATTAGAGAGAGAGAAAATATATGAAAAAATTGACCTCTCCTCGACATTTAAAATTATTTGAATAGCCAAATATTACTGTATTGATATTTCGACCAATAGGTCTTCTTCAGAATAAGACAGTGTACAGGGTGTCCCACAGAAAAGTTTACCTAAACAAACAGCTCGAGATTTTTGTAGCACGTGCGATGTTTCTAAAAATTCACAAGTAGATAGTCAACAGAATGGCACGTCCGAAAAACATATGTTTTGCTGATGAAGATGTGGAATAACCTTGAAAAGACGTTCTGCATTGAGACTTACATTTCTCACAAATCTTACCATTTTACTCGCCGTCAATTCTTAAAAAAGTTTGGTTTCGATCACCGACAACTGGAAAAAGCACCTAGCAAGACTCTTATTTCCAAGTGGGTAAGAAAGTTCCAATCGGGACAGCTGGAACGGCGCCGTGGAAGTGGCGCACAGCTTTCAGCAAGAACTGAAGACAACATCGGAACGCGGAGAGCTCCGTTCTGGAAAGTCCAAAACGGTCGATAAGGCACCGCGGTCAAGCTCTAGGCATATCAAGCTCACCGCACAAAATTCTAAAGGAAGATCTGCGTCTGCACCCATACAGACTGCAGCTCTGCCAAAAGCTGACAATCTATGACCAGAAGAAACGAGTCAAGATGGCGAAATGGCTCACACAGCACCCAGCAGTGATGGACCGAGTATGGTTTTCGGATGAAGCCCATTTTTGGCCCAACATTCAGGGCCTCGGCTAACATGTTAACTACTGGGGCAAATGCCCCAGTAGAGTCGAGGAATGCCCCAGTAGTGGTCAGGCTTTGCCCAACCTCCACAAAATGAGAATATATCAATATTAACGTACATTCTTTCATTCAGGAGCGGTTGAAGACGTTTGTGGCAAGAAATCAGGGGCGGCGGAAGAGGGAGTGCGCGGTGTGCAGCTGCACCCTCAATTTCCATCCAAAAACATAGGCGTACAGCCCACCGCTAAAGTAATGTAGGGTTTTACCAATCTCAACGATTGGCTTTGACTGGCGATTGTTTAATGCGGAGTGATCGAAAAGAAGATGTCAATAGCTAAAATTGCAGCTGCAAGGGTGACGACTGACGATACATATAAGCTACATTCAAAGTTTCATTGTAGTCTGACTAATCGTTCCTAAGCTTCAGAAGCAGAACATACCCATGACTGAAACCGCACATTACTTCTGCTGTGGACTGTACATTAGCAAGCATATCTTTTTACACCCCATAATCCATCTTCGTTCGAAAGAGCGTCAAAAATAATGACGAAATTACTTGAGCCACTTTTTTGGTGAGGTCAAAGGTCAGGTCATGGTGAAGGCCAACTTTCGCCGATTTTCAGGTCGAATATCGACACTTTACAAGATGCCGACGCTCAACTCGGGAACCAATTAGAGCTACAGCACCGCGGAAAAGCGCATTTGATAGCCATATTAGCATGCTTTCTGGTTATTTCTCTTAGATTTGACCTAACGCCAACGGTTTTGCCTGCAAGGGGCAAAAACTACTAAAGACGATTTTGGGGGAACAGTTTTTCTGCAATAACTTTTGACTCATGCTTTGCACGAGCCAAGGCCCAATGCAAGCGCTTTCTTTTATCCGACATCGTGTTCCTCTCGTCAAGACGCATCAAATTAACTACAATTTGACCTTGAAGGTCAACTTGAAAATTCGACCTCAGGTTCAAGTCATGATCTGACCGGAAATTGTCATGTTGCATATCAGTCGATCTGCATCGTCTAACCAAACACGTCTAAGGCATTTTCATCGCTCTAGCATGCCTCTTTCAAAAGTTATTCGCGAAAAACTGTTAGATACCATTCGTGAACTGAGATGACCTCAGGGGCATAAAAAAGGGTCACGGGTGCTATTTTCATGTTCAGTGTGTCAAAGTCACGTACAGTGTTTTATAGTGTTTAGAATAACTTTCGTCCAAAAGAGGTGGTTTTGAATTTCTCCCATTGACTTATAATAGATCGGTCGCAAAAGTGAGCTGACCTTAGGTCACCGATATGAAAATTCCGAGATATAAATTTTGTACATGCTGTTGCCCTTATCAATCGCTGAAAGTTTCAAAGCGATCGGTCACTCGGTGTAGCTACGGCATACATGGAAACATTTCATGAGGTGAGGTCACTTGAAGTGACCTGGTAACCTGATCTTGAATGACCTTGGTCTGAGATTTTTACAACACGTGTAAAATTGATGGGTGATGGAGCGCCGCCGTTTTTTAGATATCCGCGAAAAACCGCAGGAAAAACCGCAGGTGTTCAAACACCTGCGGCCCCCCCCCCTGCTGGGGGCCCCCCCAGCAGGGCGCCAACACACTTTGACGATTTGCCCCAGTAGTCAAAATTCCTTAGCCGAGGCCCTGCGGACATGTGAACAGCCGGAATGATGTGCACTGGGCTTTAGAAAAGCCGGATGAGGTTCTGACAACTCCCCTACACTCGGAGAAGGTGACTGTGTGGATGGCGATGAGGAGAGGCGGAGGAACGATCGGCCCATTCTTCTTCGAAGATGAGAACGGCGATACTGTGACGGTGAACCAAGAGCAATACATGAGACAGGCACTGAGTCCGTTCTGGAAGGAGCTGGGCAAGAAGGCCGGAGCTGACCAACGGATGACGGACTGGTTCCAACAGGATGGTGCCAGTCCACACACCGCCAAGGCCTCGCTCCTGTGGCTCCAGAGGAAGTTCAACGGGCGTCTGATCAGTTTGAAAACTGAGGTGGAGTGGGCGCCGAACTCCCCTGACGTGAGCCCTCTCGACTTCTTCATGTGGGGCTACTTGAAGGCACGGGTGTACCAGAACAAGCCACGCAGTTCACGTGAACTCAAGACAGCGATCATGTCTGAAGTGAGACAGATTCCAGCTCAGATGATCGACGACGCAGTGACACACCTGGGCCCAATCTCACCATGTGCAGTAAACTCATTTTGCGGTAAACTACCCCAAAACGAATCTCACCACTGCCGTAATTTTTGAAGTAACCGCATCGAAATAACCCCATGGGATAGCTTCGGTTTTACCGCAAATTCTTCATGTGCGCAGCTGCTCACGGCCCGAAAGCAAGTAAACAAACCAAACAATCAGCTGATTGTCCCCAAATGTCGGACCAAAATTACCGCAGACATTTGTGCCGTAATCTCTAAATTTTATACCAATTGTGAGCAAGAATCAACAATTAAAGATGTAATAAGAACTTTGTAAGAAAGAAAAGAAATAAGTTTCTTTTTTAAGATTATTTTTTGTTGCAGCCTGCGCCACCTATGCTTCCTATTTGCAGTACCCAAAACAGCATGTAGATGTCGCCCGTGAGTCTTGGAAACTGAGGTGCCGCTTGGAAAGAAGAAGCACGCTATCGTTGCCATGGCGACAAAACAATTGCGTTCTTTATATCGCGCCTGCGTGATCAGCAGCTTTTCCACCAATCCGAAGCGTCGAAAAATGGGGTTCTTTAGCAGGATTCGCACAAAATGCGGTAAATTACAGCATGGGGCAGTTTGGGTTGGTGAAAATGGATTATTTGCTTGAGGTTATTTCGGTGCGGTAACTTACCGCTACCCCAAACGAGTTTACCGCACTTGGTGAGATTGGGCCCTGGAGACCGTGCGACTTCCAATGGTGCTGCGGCGCAAGGGTAGTCACATCGAGCACCTGTGAGGAGAGACGACTTCGGTGGAGTGACAAATGTGACATGGCTAGTTTTGCCATTTCGTCAGGAGAACAGTGGTGTGCATATCGAGTGTGTCGGATGACTAATATACGAGTTATTGACAATTTACTGGGTAAACTTTTCTGTGGGACGCATGGTATGCACAAGTGTACGAGAATACAATAACACTGTCTTATTCTGAGGAAGACTTGTTGGTCGAAATATCAATACAGTAATATTTGGCTATTCAAATAATTTTAAATGTCGAGGAGAGGTCAATTTTTCATATATATCTCTCTCTAATATTCATAATGATTCTCGCAAGAGGGCTCCAAAGAATAAATAATACTTTTATCATTAATGACCCAGGTGGTATCTGTGTGTTGGCCCCGGCCCAGATCCTCGCACTTCCACGGGGCAACGGACCCTTTCGGTTATTGGTCATTTCACGATGGAACCGTGCAAATTATATTAGCGGGAAGTTGCGCCCAGTCACCTCCCACCTCCGCCAGCACAGGTCGTGCCTCAACACGGAACAGGCCGTGCCACCTAGGTGCGCCGGGGAGAACTACAGGTCGCATAGTGCCACCAGATGTCGCGCACACATGACAGGCGCAGATATATAGATTTTAGATCGTGGGTGATATATTGTAACAGCGTTGATTTCTACCATGCATGTATTTTAGCAACTCACAGCGTGGGCGCAGGCACTGGAACCACAACGGCTACCACAACTGCACGTAAGTATGTCCGACATACGACTTATGTTTGGACTCGAGGCAACGCAGCCCAAGCGGCCTTTTCCGTTAGGACGCCGAGCGACGGAGTGCGCGCAGCAATTTTTTTTGTTTTTTGTTTACCGGTTGAAACCCGCGGAGAGTAGAGTGATAGCTTTAGCGGCGGCTACCGCCACCATGGGTCGACCAAGAAGGAACACCGGTGAGTTACCAGCTATCCGGCCTGTTAGTTACGCGCGGGCCCTTCGCACGAGGCAATCATGGCGCGCCCCTCTAACCGGCGGTCTAATTTTCGTCAGCCAATTAGTCTGCCAAGTTGCTTGAACACTGGCAGTTGGCACTTTTGTTCTGTTACTACCCTTCGCCCCATACTAATGTGGCCGCCCGTCTCAGATACTCAGTTGGCCCTCCGGGCGGTCACATACACCAGCTTGTAGCTTGGCCCTGAACTATGCCCTGCCCACTGGCATGTCATGCCATGCCAGCGCCACCTTCACAATC